CGAGCCACGCGGGGCGGCGGAGCCGCCGCGGCAGCGGAGGCCGCCGCGGCGCGGGGAGCGCCCACGGGGCCCGCGGCAGCCGCGGCAGGGGGCCGGCAGCAGCAGGGCCCCGGCGCGGGCAGCAGTGGCGCGCCGCCCCCGCAGCCGCCGCGCCAGGCGGCAGACGGCGGCCGAGGCCGCCGCGGCCGCGCGGGGAGCGGCGGCCGCGCCGGCGCCCGCGGCAGAGCGCGCGGCGCCACCCGCGCCAGGGCCCCCAGCCAGCCAGGCGCCGCCGCGGGCAGACATGGCGAGGCGGAGGCGGCGGCGGCCGCGACGCGCGGCCCGGCCGCGCCGCCCAGGCCGCGCATGCCAGCCTCGAGCCCCAACCCCGGGGGGAGGAGGCCCCCCCAGGAAACGCCTTGAACCAGAGGCTACGGACCCGCCCCGCCACACACGCGCTAGCGAGAGATAGCATCGCAGCCAGGTCGGGCACCTTTGCTCCGAGGCGCGATTCGAAACGCAAGCTGCGCCTCGCCCCACCTGGGCCAGACTTGCGATGGAATGACAGCCTGGTCGGGAGACAGGGAGCGGATTCTCAAGCAGCGCGATCCACTCCCAGACCTCGCGCCGTTCCGAGCACTGGCTCGGACAGGAAGTGCCCTCGAGATTCCCGCTGGTGTTTGAAGCTTCTCTCAGGAAGATTGACGAAATTGGTTTCTTCCGCCCACGCCAGCAAGCCCGTTGGACACAGCCGTCGCGGCCCCGCCCCCGCCCCCATTCGGGCCATCGAATGTCATCGGAGGCCCTGAAGGACCCCCAGACCTCGAAGCATCGCCCCCTGCGCGCCGCCTGCGAGGTCTAACTTTCGCGTTTCGAAATCCCCCGGAGGCTCAAGGACCGCGGCAGCGGGGAAGAAAACGACCGACCTCCGCAACCCCCCCTGGCCCCACCATCACCCGAGCCGCGCCATTCTCAGCATCGCCCGCAGCGCCCAGGCCTCTGGCGCCATGCCCCTCGCCATTTCTCGCCGTCGCCCTCGCCCTCGCCCGCGCCCTCGCCCGCGCCCTCAGCCCCGCCGCCGCCGCGCCCCTCTTTCGCGCGCCCCGCCCACCCCCGTCGCTCGCGCGTCGCCGCCCTCTTCGTTACCTCGCACTGCGGGCCGCGCGCTGCGCCCGCCGCTGACGCGCGGCCGCGGGAACGCGCCCCGCGGCCCCCCGAACCCGAATTCATCTGGAACCCTTGCTCTTCGGCACCTCGGTTCGACGCGACCCACTGCGGCCAGTCGGCGACGGGCGGGAAATCTTCGCGCGAAGGACGCATCGAAAACGCAGGCATGGAATACACACGAGGCACGCTGCTACGACGGCGACGACGACAGCGCCATGGGCGGCGGCGCAGGCGACGACAACGAGGAGCTCGACGGCGAGAGAAAACGAAAAATACGCCTTGAGAAGCAGACGGCACCGGATTGACAAAATTTCGAAGCAGAACACGAAGCAGGGCAGCCGCGCGCGGGCTGCAATGCCGACGCGAAGCTGAAAGCCGGCCAGGAGTGCGCGGCACAGGTCGCCCCCAAACTTCGCGGCACGAAAGCCGCGGAAACCGACGCGATATCCCCTCGTTGCTCCCGCTGGGCGACGATGGACTGGACGACACAAATCTTTTCTGTTGCGACACAGACCTTCGCATGGAGTCTTCGGTCGCCAGGCTCTCTGAGACGGCTGTCCCGGACACCAAGCCTGGAGGGCACAACTACCCGCAACGTCCATCGCGGCCATAAAATTCACCTGGAGGTTCCGTCGTCAAATTCACTGCAACGGTCTTCGCGAACAGCAAGCGCCAAGGCGCAACTGCTCGTAACAATCACCGCATAAAGACCAAGCACCAGGAGAACTCGGTCGTTGACATGCGTCTCAACGTCACTGTGACCGACGCTGCAAGCGACCAGCCCGCAGGGCGCAACTAATCGCAACTACCAGATGAACTCCCTTGCGCGCTTGCACTCTTCTGAATAGGCGGTTGCCGCACAGGCCGTCGCGATATGAATGTCCTCGCGACAGGATCAGGAAGCGTTGTTGTTGAGCCTAGCGCTGCCGTTCTGCAACAAGAACGCTGCTCAACCACACAATTCCGTAGCAACCACGTGAATGGACTTTTCGGTCGCCGTCATGCGCGTGACCTTTGTTGTGACGGTTGTTGCGGGCACCAGGCTCAAACGGCACACCTGCCCGAAACAACCAACCATTGTGTCAGGAGAACTGGCTCGGAGGGACAAGTCGTCTACATGCGTCTCACGAACTGTACTACGGCGGCTGTTGCGAGCAGCAAGCCCGAGAGCGCAGCTGCCAATAATAACCAGTGGGAGCAATATAGGCGCGGGTTCATCCTGCGCAACCCCCCGCCCGCGTTCTCCCCATGCTGCGGGGAAGCGATGGAACAGCAAAACAGGACAGCTATGGCACGGCTGGGAACACAAGCAGAGACTCATACCTTTGCACCTTCAAGACCGTGACCTAACTTTGTACCGCGCGGCTGCGGCGGTATGACGACGGACTGAATGGTAACGACGCTTCTGCTGAAAAGGATGCGTTGCCTTGTTCAGCCTACAAGTTCTTACTTGCGGGTTGCGAACAAGGCGCATTTGCCCGTAACACTTGCTGCACAGGCCATGCAACACGTAACTACCTTGGTGGATGAGTCAGTTACCGCGACAGCTCCTCCCCCGATATAATCCGTTTGGTGCTGGCAGCAAAAGCGAAACTGATATACGTGTCCAGCTGTATGTTGGCGCCATGGACGCAGAAATGGGAAGACATGACCAAAGCAGCTCACGGAAAGATAAGGTGTGGGTGGGGAAAAGTCTGCGGTGAGGAAGAGGAGACGGGATGGGACGAGGAGGAGGAGGAGGAAAGGCGAGGGAGGCAAGAGGACAAGGAGGACGTGGAGTGAGCAGGAGGAGGTGAGGGAGAACGGAACAGGGAGCTGGGAGGAGAGAAGAGGACAACGAAGAGATTAGGAGGGGGGGATAGGAGGTGGAGGTGGGATAGGACAAACGAAGGGGGAAAGAGAGGAGGAGCTGGAGGAGAAAGGAACAGAGGGACGAGAAAGGAGGAGGCCCCCAAGACCTCCTGGAGCCTTACAAAACCACATACGCCCCCTCAAGCTCCAGAATCCTTCCGAGGCGAGAGGCAGGGACAGGCAAAGATCGCAGAGAGGGGCCTGCGCAAGCAAGCCCTCCTGTGGAAGGTCGATGAACGTGTTCCTGGCCGCAGCAAGGGGAGGGGGAGAGAAGGGCAAAGGGAGGAAGGAGCATTGATTGGGGAAGAGGATGAAGAGACGGAGACGAGGGAGGAGGGAGCAAGCGAGGAGGGAGGTTGCACGCGTTCACGGGAAGACCAGCCAGATGCCACCCGCCCGCGAACGGGGGCGGGGCGGGCACCGCTGGACCCCTGAAGAGGCTCGGCAGAGGCGCACTGAAGGGAACCGCAGGACGTGCGCAGGGGTTCGCCCCCAGCGGCGCGGAGAGGCGGAGGCAGACGAGGCAGAGCGCGTCGCAGAGACAAGCCAACACTTCGACGCGCAGCTGGGGAGTGGCATGGCTCCCCGGCGGAGCTGGCGCCAGAGCGCGCACCAGCGGAACGCTAGCCCGCGCGAAGGGGGCGCCTCCCCCAGCAAGCGACGCGGCACCGTGGCAGAGCCCAAGCGCTGGAGGGACCACGGTGTATGGCGAAGGCAACGCTGAGCACAGTCAAGCTGCTACCACAAGGAACGCTGAATAAGGAGCAGAGAGGCCCCTTTTATCAGGAGGCAACTACTGGAAGGTCTTCGTCGGAAAGAGCAAGGAGGATTAAGACCCATTGGGGGGGGGCTACTACGCCAGATTAAGCCGCGGATTAAGCGGGATTAAACCGGATTAAGCGGGAGCAAGCAGGATAAAGCCGGATTAAGCGGGACTCAGCTGGATTAAGCCCGATTTCGGACCAGGGCAAAATCAGAACCTGACCTCCCAGGAGTTGCATCCGAACTTCTGGGCCCCAAGAGCGCCTGGTGTGCAAGGGGGGGGCAACCATGGAAGGACCTGAGCAACAGCGAGCCCCTTCCGAACCCGAAGCGGTCCATGCTTCATCGGCTTGGCTGTCGGTCGGTGGCGGGCCCAGGGGAGAAAATGAGAGGGGGCGGGCCTTCTCGGAAAGCGGCGGGGCTTCTCAGAAGCACTTGCGCCTCCTGAGAAGCCGCAGGTGGCTTCGGAGAGAGCTCCACGAGGCTTCCGAGAAGCCCCGCCGCCTTCTGAGAAGGCCTGCCCCCTCTCACACACACCCTGGGCTAGCCGCCGGATGTAGAATTGTGGATGCCATGACAATGGACACTCTAACAATCCGATCATTGAATTACAAGTGTGTTTAAAGTGTGCAAAACATGTTCTACACGTGTTTCAAACATGTTTCCCATGTTTAAAAAATGCTTGAAACATGTGTTACGCATCTGGAAATTAATTGGCAGCATGCTTCCTCTCCATTAATCGCAGCATGCTTCCTCTCCACTAATCGACTCCCACAAATGCAGAACAAGAGAAGCGACGGGCGAGGCGCACGCTCGGTGGATGGAGCGCTACGTGGGCACGCCACTGCGGCACAACCCAGACGGCACCGCCGGGGCGCCGAGGGCCCAAAAGGGGCACCTTGGGGTCGCTCGGTGCCCGCCGACCTCTGGGTCTGCGCATGGTCGGTCGCCGGGTCCCGCCTCGCCATGCTCTTGGCTGCAAGCCCGCCAGCGTGCCCCGAGGCACGAAGTAGAGCGTGATCGGGCGAGGGGGCAGCAGAGATGAGCGTGCTTGGCGGAAGAGAGGCACCAGTCTTCCCCCTGTGCAGCAAACGCTGAGTGTGGTCATGCCACTTCGAGTCCTCCGCATTGAGCATTGCAATATTTCAGGGGCCAAACGAGGTCCCGAACAGGGCCCAAGAGGCCCCTGAGAAGCAGGACCCCAAAAGCCCTCCAGGAGGCCCCCGAGGGGTATCTCACTAGACCACACGATGCATCCAAGACGCCTCCGACCCACAACCCAAGCACGGTGGCGGGACGGGCTAGGGGCCACTAGATCCGCCGCCCCCTTATTGCTTTAGCACAGGGGTGCCTGGCATGCCAAATTATGTGGCTCTTGGTTTTGGGTCTTCTTCCAAAAGAACTCCCCCTGGGGCTTTGGCCCGTCCCGCCGGCCACCCAGAAGGATGCCGAAAAATCTTCCAAAAATGGTTGCAAAGGGTTTCTCCGTTCCAGACGGCTCCAAGATGGCCTAAGATGGCCTCCAAGACGGCCAAGATGGCCTCCAAGACAGCTAAGATGGCCCCAAGATGCCTCCAAGATGGCCCAAAAAGCACCCAAGACGGTCTAAGATGGCCTCAAGATGGCCCAAAACGGCCCAAGAGGCCGCACAGAGGCCTCCAAGACGGCCCAAGAGGCCTCCAGGAGGTCCTCCAGGAGGGCCCGAAGAGGCCAAAATCATTGATTGTCCTTTCTGGTTTTTGAAGGATTTTGGCATTTCCGACGGCCCATGACGGCCCAAGTGACCTCCAAGACGGCCCCAAGAGGACCCCAACACCGCCCAGGAGGCCTCCAACACGCCCAAGATGGCCTCCAAGACGCCCAAGATGGCCTCCAAGACGGCCCCGAAGCGCTCCAAGAGGGCCCCAAGTCGGCCCAGAAAGGCCCCCAAAACGGCTCCCGATGGCGTCAGACGTGCCAGGAACCCACCAAGATGGCCGAAGTTGGCTCGAAGCTGGCCCAAGACGGCCCAAGAGGCCCCCAAGAGGGCCTCCAGGAAGGCCAGAAGAGGCCAAAAAACTTGATTGTCCGATGGTATTTGACAGATGTTGGCATTTCCTTCTTTTTGGCCGTCCGACGGCCCGAGACGGCCCAAGAGCCCCCAAAGATCGCCGAAAGATCGCCCAAGAGGCCTCCAAGATGGCCCCAGAACGGCCCAAGAGGGCCCCAAGACGGCCCCCAAGAGGCCCCCAAGACGGCACAGGACGCCTTTAAGACGCCCAAGATGGGCATCCAAGACGGCCCTGGAGCATTCCAAGAGGGCCCCAAGTCGGCCCAGAAAGGCCCCCCAAACGGCTTCCGACGGCGTCAGACGGACCAGGAGCCCACCAAGACGGCCGAACATGGCCCTAACATGGCCCAAGACGGCCCAAGGAAGGCCCGACAAGGCCCAAATCATTGATTGCCCATGAGTTTTGAAGGATTGTGGCGTTTGCTTGTTTCTGCCTTCCGACGGCCCGAGACGGCCCAAATGCCCCCCAGACACGGCCCCAAGAGGCCCCCAAGACGGCCCAAGAGGTCTCCAAGACGCTCAAGATGGCCTCCAAGACGGTCCAAGAGCCCTCCAAGACGTCCTCCAAGAAGGCCCGAAAGGGTCAAAATGGCCTCCAGACGGCCAAGATGACCTTCAAGATGCCCACTTGTTCCCCGAAGGCTTTCCAAACCGACTCGGGGAACACATGGTCCGATAGCTTCGCAGGTCTGGCCTCAACGGTCGGCCACATAGGCGCTTCCAAAAAGGCAGGGGGCGGCGGTGATTCGCCGTAGGCGTCTTCGATCCGCCGCCCCCTTTAGATTTATCAAAGGGGTGCCTGGCGTGCCAAACTATATGGCTCTTGGTTTGGGTTCTTTTTCCAAAAGAACTCCCCCTGGGGCTTCGGCCCGTCCCGCCGGCCACCCGGAAAGGATCTCAAAACGCATCCGTCATGCCTCTGTTTCCTCCAGTTGGCCCAAGATGGCGTCCAAGACGGCCAAGATGGCCCAGGATGGTCTCCAAGACGTCTCCAAGACGCCCCAAGATGGCCTCCAAGACGGCTAAGATGGCCCCAAGATGCCTCCAAGCTGGCCCAAGATGTACCCAAGACAGTCTACGACGGCCCAACAGGCCCGCAAGAGGCCTCCAAGACGGCCCAAGAGCCCTCCAAGACGTCCTCCAGGAAGGCCCGAAAGGGCCAAAAACATTGATGTTCCCTTGGTTTTTGAAGGAGCTTGGCATTTGCGCCTTTTTCAGGCTTGCGGACGGCCCAAGACGGCCCAGGAGGCCCCCAAGATCGCCCAAGAGGCCCCCAAAAGGGCCCCATGACGGCCCAAGTGGTCTCCAAGACGGCCCCAAGAGGGCCCCAACACCGCCCAAGAGGCCTCCGACACGCCCAAGATGGCCTCCAAGACGCCCAAGATGGCCTCCAAGACGGCCCCGAAGCGCCCCAAGAGGGCCCCAAGTCGGCCCAGAAAGGCCCCCAAGACGGCTCCCGACGGCGTCAGATGTGCCAGGAACCCACCAAGATGGCCGAAGTTGGCTCGAAGCTGGCCCAAGACTGCCCAAGAGGCCCCCAAGAGGGCCTCCAGGAAGGCCAGAAGAGGCCCAAAACATTGATGTTCCAAAGGTTGTTGACGGATGTTGGCATGTGCTTCTTTTCGGCCTTCCGACGGCCCGAAACGGCCCATGAGCCCCCGAAGATCGCCGAAAGATCGCCCAAGAGGCCTCCAAGATGGCCCCAGAACGGCCCAAGAGGACCCCAAGACGGCCCCCAAGAGGCCCCCAAGACGGCACAGGACGCCTTTTAAGACGCCCAAGATGGGCATCCAAGACGGCCCTGGAGCATTCCAAGAGGGCCCCAAGTCGGCCCAGAAAGGCCCCCCAAACGGCTTCCGACGGCGTCAGACGGACCAGGAGCCCACCAAGACGGCCGAACATGGCCCTAACATGGCCCAAGACGGCCCAAGAGGCCCCCAAGAGGGCCTCCAAGAAGGCCCGACAAGGCCCAAATCATTGATTGCCCATGAGTTGTTGAAGGATTGTGGAGTTTGCTTTTCTCTGCCTTCCGACGGCCCGAGACGGCCCAAGTGCCCCCAATGATCTCCCAAGAGGCCCAAGACACGGCCCCAAGAGGCCCCCAAGACGGCCCAAGAGGTTTCCAAGACGCTCAAGATGGCCTCCAAGACGGCCCAAGAGCCCTCCAAGACGTCCTCCAAGAAGGCCCGAAAGGTTCAAAATGGCCCCCAGACGGCCAAGATGACCTTCAAGATGCCTACGTGTTCCCCGAAGGCTTTCCAACCGACTCGGGGAACACATGGTCCGATAGCTTGGCAGGTCTGGCCTCAACGTTCGGCCACATGGGCGCTTCCAAAAAGGCAAGGGGCGGCGGTGATTCGCCGCAGGCGTCTTCGATCCGCCGGCCCGTTTTGATTTATCAAAGGGGTGCCTGGCGTGCCAAACTATATGGCTCTTGGTTTTGGTTCTTTCTCTAAAAGAACTCCCCCTGGGGCTTCGGCCCGCCCCGCCGGCCACCCGGAAAGGATCCCAAAACGCATCCGTCATGCCTCTGTTTCCTCCAGTTGGCCCAAGATGGCGTCCAAGACGGTCAAGCTGGCCCAGGATGGTCTCCAAGACGTCTCCAAGACACGCCAAGATGGCCTCCAAGACGGCTACGAGCAGGAACGATCATATAGCGTGTATCGTTGTTCGAACCTTGCGAAACCGAAGACCTTTACACACTAAACAACGCAGGAACTAACACGCTAAGTAGGGGCGTAGACAGGGGGTGAACAGCCGCCAATCGTCATACACGCTAAGCGTTCCAAGACGCTACGCGCTCGAAACAAAAACGTTTTACAGCCAAGGTGGCTCCAAATACTGCGCGCATGCGCCGAAACATTGTCGTTCTCGGTTAGGGTGTTTTCTTGGTGCGTTTATGTCATTGTGTGTGACGGGGGGGGGGCGGGGGGCAGCTCCGCATTTTGTTCATGGTGGTGTTTTGGCTGCGCAACGCAAAACGAAATCGGCAGGAAACCACTTCCTTCAAACAAAACTGTGCTGACGTCTATGGAATGTTGTACTCGCTCCCCTGAACCACGTCAAATTCGAATTCAAACGCACTATATATATATATATATATATATATATATATATATACATATATATATATATATACATGTGGAGACGCCGCCCGAAGAGCGCGGTTTGTCCCAGTTGCGCCCAGAACCCGCTGGAAACAGGCGATAATGCGCGCACTTTGCGCGCAGTTCTCTGGCGGCGACGCGCGCGCGGCGGCTGGCCCAGCGCGCGCCGCGACCACCGCGAGCGGCCCCTGGCGTGCGACGCCCCAGCCCGCTCTGCATTCAGCGCGCCCAGGGCCCCCACCGCGCCGCGCGCGCGCAGCGGCGCGGCCCGCCGCCGCGCGAGCTCATCTGCATCATCATCGACATGATCATCAGCATCATCAGCAGCATCATCAGCTTTAGCATCACCATCATCATCATCAGCAGCATCGTCAGCAGCATCAGCATTAATGTCATCATGGTCATCACCATCAGCATCATCATCAGCAGCAGCATCATCTGCATCATCATCATCATCATCATCATCATCATCATCATCATCATCATCATCAGGATCAGCATCAGCATCATCATCATCGTAATCCTCGTGGTCGTCATCGTCATCGTCATCGTCATCGTCAGCATCATCCTCCTCCTCTTCCTGCTCCTCCTGCTCCCTTTTTTAACGTTAGACCGACCTTCGCTGCAAGCAACCTTCTCCTTCCTCCTCCTCCTCCTCCTCCTCCTCCTCATCCCCCTCCTCCTCCTCCTCCTCATCCTCCTCCTCATCCTCCTATCATCATCATCATCATCATCATCATCATCATCATCATCATCATCATCATCATCATCATCATCATCATCATCATCATCATCATCATCATCATCATCATCATCGTCATCATCATCATCGTCATCACCATCATCATCATCATCACCATCATCACCACCAACAACATCATCATTGTTATCCTTCTCCTCCTCCTCCCCCCCCCATCCCTCTGTTCTCTTTGCAGGAGGTGGACCGAGGGGAGGCGCGGGATTGTTAGTCGTGAGAGCTGTCTGCCGTTGCCGCCCCGAGTCCTGACGGTGATGCTGGACACCGACAGAGGATCGCGAAGGCAGTCCGAAAAGGAGCCCATCCGACCAAACTGGACGCTGTCACCTGCCCTGCCCTCTGGAGGGCGCCGTCGTCGCAGTCGCAATCGCCGTCGTCGTCGTCGTCGTCGTGTCGTCGTTGTCGTCCTCGTCCTCGTCCTCGTCGTCGTCGTCGGCGGCGGCTGCGGCGGCCTCGTCCTCGTCGTCATCGTCGTCGTCGGCGGCGGCGGCCTCGTCGTCGTCGGTCGTTGTCGGCGTCGTCGTCGTCGTTGTCAGCGGCAGCCTGCGTCGACGTCGGCCTCGGCGTCGCCGTCGGCGTCGGCGTCCTCGTCCCGAATCCTCCCCTCCTCCGGCACTCCCCGATCGTCTTCAAATATTCCCCCATCTGTTCTTCTGCCCTCGCCAGCACCCCATGCACAAGATACGAGTCTCAATTGATTCGGTAAGAAAAATGGAGGTCAACAGTTACATTTCATTTTCGCTGCCAGATCAGATGGAGCCCGACCAATTTGAATGTTCCTCCTATGCGGCTGCTACCCCGCCAACGAAGAGCTTGCAGCAGAGGCCTGGGAAACAATAACAAAAAAGGATGGACTGCGCATAGGGAGGAGCGAGGAAGAATGACGGAAAAAAGGGGGACAGAGGACGGAGGACGGAAGCGGGAGGCGGGAGCAGAAGGAGAAACGAGGTGGAAGTTCCCCCCCCAAAAAAAAATGCACTCTCACATTGTCCCCGCCATCAGAGGTGCCATACCGCCCAAGAGCAGGCAAACGCAAACTTCGAGATGAAAAGGGGCAACGGGTGGCGGCACCAGAGGGACGGTGGCGGCGAAAGGACGGGGGGGGACGGAGCACGACAGTTCACTACTCAGCACCATGCCTCCCGCAACGATCCCGCCGAGGCACCCAACGCGCGAGGGGGACGAAACAACCCCGCCCACCACCGGAAGAAGCCGCGCTCCTGCCGGAATCGGGGGGGAACACGGAGATTCCAATCAATGGCCGTGCCCCGCTTGCGTGCTCCGTCGTCGGAGTGCCACCGGTCGCTGGGAGAGCAACCGGCTTCGATTCGACTCAAGCGAAGGGGAAGAAAAAAAGGACCATGACCAAGACAAAACGCGGAAACGCCGTGCCGATCTTGGTCAGCGTCGATCTTGGTCAGCGCCTGTTCGTGCACCATGCTCGCGGGCCGGCGACGGCCGACATGGACCACGACCGAGATCGGCATGGGCAGGATCCCGCGACATCCTGATCATGGTCCCCGTGTTTCGTCCCTCGATCCAGATGGGTTTCGGCCTTCCGACCGCGGGGCGCGCAGCCCAGCTGAGGCCCAAGCAAGGAATCCAGCTGTATACACCGACGCTTCTTCCGGCCCTGCATTGGAAGTTGCCCTGGAGAGCGGATTCTGGTGTATACAGGACCCTGGTGTGTACATGTTTCGTTGTTTCCACGGGACATCGGGAAAAAAAGTATACACCACACCACCCCAGCGCCGTCCTCGATCCTCAAAAAAGTCCTGGGACTGAAAAACAGCCAGCCACTGGTAATGTATATGTTCCAGTTTCCGACCAAGGGCAACGCGGGCGGCGGTGGCCGGGGCGGCGGGGCGGGCCTCGCGCGAGGCGCGCAGGGCGGGTGCGCCGCCGCCGCTCGGACCGAAGAGGAAGCCCCCAAGAGCCCCCCAAGAGGCTTCAAGGGGCCGCCAAGAGCCCCCAAGAGAACCCCACAAGAGGCCCCAAGAGGCCTCCTCATCCTCCTCCTCATCCCCCCCTCCTCCTCTCTCTCCTCCCCTCCTCCTCCTCCTCCTCCTCCTCCTCCTCCTCCTCTCCTCCTCCTCCTCTCCTCTGCTCTGCTCCTGCTCTGCTCCTCCTCCTCCTGCTCCTGCTCCTGCTCCTGCTCCTGCTCCTGCTCCTCCTCCCTCCTCCTCCTCCTCTCCTCCTCCTCCTCCTCCCCCTCCTCCCCCTCCTCCTCCTCCTCATCCTCCTCCTCCTGCTCCTCCTCCTCCTCCTCCTCCTTTTCGCTCGCCACGATCACGCAAACATGCAGCACCAGAGATGCAACATGGGCCGGCGGAGCGAGCGAAACGATTCAAGAAATGGAGACAGGAGACCGGAGACTGCGCCCGTGTCATCCTAGTGAGGCGGCCTTACGCGTGGCTAGGCAGTTGAGCCGGGGCGCCAGCATCGCTCGACCGTCGCACGTCACACTCTGGCCACGCGCAAGCACGAGGGAGGCGACGGAAGGATCCGCAGAACCCCAAGCGGGTGCGAGGCGGGCTGTCTGGCGAGGAAAGGAGCGAGAGCATTGTGGAGGCACTGGCTGGGTACGCACGGGCGTGGGAGAGGCGAGATCAAATGTGCGCTTCCCCCACGCGGAGCGCAATAGACGCGCCGGGGGCGCGACTGACGCATAGGCAACCGGTCACCAAGCACCAACGGCAACGGGCGAGCGGCCGTGGCTTAAACCATGCCCCTGAACGCGACCTCGAACATCGGGAGGGGATGAAAGCAAGGCCGCTCAAGCCCTTGGGCGACCGCCACCCGCTTCTCTGTGCGAGCGGTGTCCCAAACTCCGGACGCTGAAAAGAGCAGCGCGCTTAGAAAAACATGATGGGGGGGCGTACGTTTCCCGGGCGATAACATAGAAATGCCCGGTGCCACAAGATACCCACTCCGCAACTGTGCGAAGGGAGGGTTGACCGAAGGGCCGATCGCGTCACGAAGATCCGTTGTGAAAGACGGCAACGGCGAATGAAGGACGCTGATCAAGGTTCTACCTTCTCGACAAGTCCGTCGGTCAGCACGCGCAAGCCAATGGCTGCGAGCCGAAAGTGGCAGCGGCACAATAAGGAGCAGGAAATGCACGGGGTTCATAGACAACCCTCGCCCCGAAACCCAACCCGCGAGACGCAGAAGCGAAACGCAAAGAACGAACTGCGGGCGCGATGGACATGAGCCCCCCACCAGATCAGAAGGCAAGCGGCGATGCAAAGCCCCAGTTCGCAAGCGAGGTAAAAAGGGACTGCAAGTCACGACACCTCCCTGTCCACCTGTAGCGCAAAATCCCAAAAACGCTTTCTAGCGCCGACGGGGGTGGAGGAGCGTGAAAGACAGGACGGAGCAAGGGAACTCAGTAGTCAGGTGGGCCACCACGTCGCTCAGCAAACCAGAGTCGGCCGGATGCGGGCCCACTGTGAACTGATCTTTAAAAAGGCACGTGCTTGGGCAGTCGCGTCGCTCGTCGAACCCGACTCAGACGAACAGACGCATGCCCGTGTAAGCTGAATAATACAAATGGGTAGGCAATCTCGAAATCCGGCGATGCGCTGGCGGCACTAAACCCAGACTGGGTTACCCCATCCACTAAGACAGCTCCTGCTGAAAACCGCGAGAGCAGGTCGCAAGAAGCACGCCTGCAAGTGCGGGCAGGCAACGCGTGCAACATATGTTCTTGCACAGTGTCCAAATCCCCATCAAAACGTCATGCAATGAACACGTAGTTCGTCGAGCAATCACAGTCTCGATGTTAGCACTCCAAGACACGTTGTACGTCATAAATCGTCAGCCCCGACATGACAAAAATCTATACGGTTTTGACAATGTAAACGGCACGCATTGGCATCATGGCCAAATCGCCAAACTCCCAATACAGCAGGGATGCCCCAACGCGCGCGTCGCTGCAATCGCAAAACTCACGCCTTCAACATGCGCGGCAGTATCATACGCGCGGCACTGGAGAGGTATAGGTCACACGCGCACCGCACGCACCATCAAATGCGAATGTTGATCTGCGCGTGCAATTCATTGTACATTTGCTAGCCAGCGGGTCTGGGAATCGCAATTATAACGACAACTCGCCAGCAAGGCCGCGGGCCCTGGCAGCGTCGAGGTCGAAGCAGCAATCGCCGCACCTAGAGTCCGCGCACACCCATGCGTTCCACTCCTCGTTCAAGCATTGCGCGCCCAATCTGCTTTTCTGCAGTGCGCCTCAGAGGCGCACTCGGCGCGCATCGCCCACGGTAGTCCGCGCGCGGGCGCGGGGACTTGCGGCGCCAGAGCAGGTCGCTCGGGCGGAGGCCCCCGCGGCACAGCAGCTGCAGCAGCGCGGGGGGCAAGGGCTGCCGCCGCGGGGGCGCCGGCAACATCGCGGGCGCACTCAGGCGCGGCCGGCGCGCGCGCGGGGCGACCAGCCCACCCCTTCTCTCTTCCCTCGGGGACATGCGCGCGACTGCCAAGACCCACCCCCCGCAGCTGATTCGGGCGCCGCCGTGTCATATGCCTGCGCAGCGCCCCCTGTGGACGCATCCTGATGGACTGGGCGGCGAGCCCTGGCCGACGCCGGCGCCTGGCCTGTTTTCGGAGCCGGGCGCTTGCCAAGCATTGCCTGGCCCGTGGCGAAAGCGGCGTCGGGCGCCGCGCCCCTGGCCTGCACGGACACGCGACCTCTCTCCTCACGCTCGGCCAAGGGCTCGGTACCCATATTCAGATATGCCGTCTTGCTGCTTGGCGTCGTCGAAGTTCACGCAGTACTTGGTGGCGCCATCAGTCCAGAGGCCTTTGCTGGCGGCGACGCGCGCGTCGGCCACGTCACTGTGGAACCGCGCATCACGCCACCACCGCCCCATCAAATGAGGCCTAGGCCAAAACTTGACATTCTGCTGCGAACATCATTGTCAGACCAGGGCGTCGCGATCACCTGGCGGATAACCGAAGGGGGCAATCTCGCGATGGAACTTGGCGCGATGCTCTCTGCGCTTCTTCGCATTATCTGCCATCGCTTTCTGCCGGACACAGTCGGGGCCCCGATAGCCTCGAAGAATCCGATTGGCATCGGCATCCTCCATCATATTGACACGATCCCCAGAAAATGTCTCGCGGGCCCAGCCGCGCCACCCGGCCAATGGCGATCTTCCCCTGGCCAAGGAGGCGCGCGACGGATAGACAAATAGAAATCACACCAGCCACCCTTGCTAGGTAAGTTTTGCGCGCAACTCTCGCAACTGCAAACTGCAAACTGAAATGCTTGGTCCGCAAGGCCATCAGGGTCAACCGCTGCAGGATTAGCACGA